GGTACCTTATTTTGGGGGTCCTTAAAATAAGGGACCTACTATTTAGGGTACTATATTAGGGTCCCCTATTTTCGGAAACTCCCTACATAGGCCCTGAACTCAGGCCCAAAGTAATGTAAGCCCCAAACCTCAAACCGTAGGACCCGAAACCGTGGGATGCCTGCAGCTCCAGAGAAAAGTAGTACATGCTAAGTGCGGTCCGATTTCAAGGGTGAGGCTTGAAGGATTCAAGGATTCAGGTGGTCGCATGCAGGACATGTCCTATTGCGTGTTCGGGTGAGCATCCAGTAAACCCTAAACCTTGAACCCGAAACCTTAAACCCTAAACCCGTAGTGCTGCAGAGTCGCCTGGCCCTCAGTTTCTTTCTCCAAGGGCACTTCGGCAGTCGCAATAGGCCTGGATGCAACAAGGTTTTAGAGTGTATAGGGTCCCCAGGAGCGAGCAGATCTAAGCACACGGATTGCAACTTTTGTCTTTTGGTGGGTTGAAAGTGTCCTTGTTCTGGCAAGCGCTGAAGCAACCACAAAGGGCTTTGAACGCCGTGGAAACCCCCAAGTTGGCCTCCTGACTATGGTAACTAGAATTAATAAGCTAGTTCGGGTTTAGGGTTTAGGGTTTAGGGTTTAGGGTTTAGGGTAGTTAGGACAACAACTCGGTGGCCATTGCCCATGCTGGCGGCATTGCGCGGATTCTCCATGCCACTCGCCTTAAGCTCAAGTTGGCTTCAGGTCGGCTCAGACCTTGGGGTTCTTGCCGCAGCCGTTCAGTTTTGACAGCGGTCCGAAGAGACTTGCCGAGCCCGGTGAGGGCGAGGGGCTCTGCCACTTATGTCCAGACAGAAGGACAGCAGGGGAGAAGAAATAACTAAACTAAATTGCATCCGGAAAAGGCCAGAAGTGTGAGAAGTACTGCTTGGGGCATGGACGCCGAGGCCCATCGAAACAAGCCCACTTTGAACAAGCAGGTTTGGAACCCACTTCAATAACCTTATCTACAAAAATCACGGCCCCGAAACAGCAACAGCAGCCACAGGAGGCCCGGCAACCGATGCAAGACCCTCAAAGCCTGCAGGCAACCCTGCATAAACAAATTTTGGTGGGGGTTCCTTATTAAAAATATAGTATAGTGGGCTCCAAAGCCGTATTCTAGATATAAAAGGCCCCTACATTAGACCCGAAAGCCCCAAGCATCTGAAGAGGCCATGGACTCCTTCCCTATGTGCCAGGCCTGGGATCCTCTTCCGGGTAGGGGCTTCAACGTATATACAGAATTACTTTTACAACATTACATAGACAAAAGTACAAATGCAAAATTACATATACAAAGTTACATATACATACATGTAGATGTACGCATTCATGCATACACATTTGTGCAAACACGCATACACAAGCATGCATATGCGAATGCATGCGTGCATGTGTCTATGTGTCTGTACATGTATATACACCTATACGTACATATATGTATACACCTGTTTGTTGCACAGTACAAATGTTGATAGTTGTGTGCATCTGCACAACTGTTTATAGATGATGCCCCCGACTTCTCAGAGCTCCTTGCATGGTGGTGCGTGAGCAGGAAATCCAGCAGTGGGGAACAGGCGCCTCGGCGTGGTTGGGGGTTTAGGGCTTAGAGTTTTTGGGTTCTGGGTTCCAAAAAAAGAAAGGGTTTGGGGGTATGCCGCTTTTCTCGTCTTTTCTGTTGCTGTCATCTTCAGCCTTCTGTTGCGTGCCGAAGCGTGAGAAGACTAAACGCCAGCTGGAGATGTCTAAGTCAGTGAAGCATTAGACAAGCCTGAAATGGAGCCTCTTGGCGTGATTTAGGTTCCTTGCGGCACCTTGCAATCGAGATCGGTGGCAACCGGCGGGAGGTCATGGAGGGAGGCGAGATTCAGCTCACCATGCGGCTTGGCGCTGGTCTAGGAGAGACAACAGAGCTCATCTGTGCCGGCAAGAGGTGGCACTAACGGTCGCTGATAGGCCGTACCCGCCTCTGGCACTCACTTTCTCTCATACCAGCGGGGATCCTTTTTCACGCCATGGCATCTCCGAGGCGAGGTATCAACCGCCGCATGATTACCAAGTCTGGTGGTATCGAGCTCATGGTGCAGAGCATGCTGCGATTTCCGGATGATCTGGAGATTCAGGATACTTGGCGGCTTGCAGCGCGGGTCCGGAATGACGTTCAAACCTTGCCTTGCATACTTGACCCGTCCTAACTCCAAGCCCAACTGATGATTCTGTGATTCCTGCGGGTCTGATAAAGTACCTCGAGTTCCTAGTATGCATGACAATGGGCACCTGCTCTGTTTGTGTATTTTTGCAGAGGGAGCCTGATTCTCTCATTTTGAGCTTGACCTGGTGCCTCAAGCTCTCAGTTACGAGTTCTGAAAGTCTGCAACAGATGAACTGAGATTCCAAACCCTAAACCCTAAACCCTAAACCCTAAACCCTAAACCCTAAACCCTAAACCCTAAACCCTAAACCCTCAACCCCACGGTTCCCAGACCGATGAATATCTTGGGGCCCGAAGTCAAAAACCTGAGAGCAAAGGCCGGAAGGATCCGAAATCAATAAGCAGCCAAAGTAGGTAGTATTATTAGGG